GATTATCATTTACAGTGTAATCAGTGAGGGGATTCTGCAGACTGTTGAGGGTTCAGCCTCCTGATGAGTCGGTGAAACTCCGATGAAACAGTTTGTCACAGCCCCTCGTTTGTTGTCCTCTTCTCTCTCTCTGCCTACGGTTTACCGGGCAGTTCTGTTTGTGACGATATATATCATCAAACAGAGCTAGGCCAGCCTGTTGTTTGTTGTCCTCTTCTCCCTCTCTGCGTACGGTTTACCACACAGTTCTTATAGACGATATATATACTGTTCAGTGGGCATTTCTCTGCAACCGTTCGTATATACAGCCAGCAGGAAAGCGGGATTTTGCTTATGATCATATGATTTTTAATTGTTTGTGTGTTGTAATCGTTCTGTGGCAGGTTTTCCTGCATCTCCTCCTCCTCCACCTCCATCAATGCCGAGTTTCTCCAAGCTAATGTCCTTCACACAGAAGAAGTTCAAGGTAAAATTTTAGAATTCCAAATGCACTGCTCAGAGATTATTCAAAATCATCGCGACTCTCTTGAGTTTTCCTGTTTTACAGATGCAATTCCTTATTCTATGGGAATCCAATCAGTGTATATCTCAAAATTAGACGGGTGAAAGTTGCCATTGTACATTACCAGTCTCCTTGAAGCAGAGATACCAAAGGGGCTCATTTTCCGGAGCCCGGAGGACTGAGCCAAAACGTTTTGGGCGTACTGCCCCTGCAGCCGGTAGGCCGAACCCTGCAACGACCAGCGCTTATGCCGTCGTGACCTGTGTAGTGAACATGACAACACACTTGAACATACATGTGAGGGCAACTGAGAGAGTCGTGGCCAAACAGTACGTGGGTATGTGAACAGCTTGAGTGATGTCCACTTAGGGCTTGGACATGTCAATAACTTGCAAACCCAGATAGTCAGGTACAACAACAATATGGGTGCTTTTTCTTATGAATACGTACTCATTTGTGACGAACCTGAATCCTCATTTGTCTATTTTCGAGGACACAATGAGTCCTCTCTCTTTTCTTGTTGTTTAATTTATATATATTACACAAACATAGAGCCCTCAGTGTATTTCACTGGAAGCACAGTTTTCTTGAGCAGTACGAACCCTCATCATTTCTGTATCTGACAAGAACCGTCACTTGTGTAGATTCAAGTACACAAGGAGCCGTTATCAAAGCTCACGGGAAGCACAGTTTTCAAGAGCAGCACGAACCCTCTGCATGACTGTGCCGGACCTGAATCATTGCTTGTATACATTGGAGGACACAGTGAGTGCTTAAACATACAGCCCGCATCGTGGTTCACAGGAAACACGGTTTTCTTGAGCAGCACACACCCTCAACATTTCCGTACCTGATGAGAATTGTCACTTGTATACATACGAGTATGCAGGGAGCTCTTATCGAAGCTCATAGGAAGCACAGTTTTCAAGAGCAGCAAGAACCCTTAGCATGACTATCTGACCTGAATCGTCATTTGTATACATCCAACGACAAGGATGCAAGTCGCCGTCACACCAGTCCGAAGGATCGGAAGGACTCACAACGTAGTATTATGATCAGGGTGTACTCACACTAGGCCCTGAAGTTCACAGAATAACAAAGTCAGCAGCCAGATCTAGTCCTTATAAAAGGACTCGATCTGGCCGTTCATCTTGCGACTCTGCAATTTTGAGGTCCTAGTGTGAGTGCTTTCAGAATAACAAGAATGGCATATATCTCCCCAGAAGTTTTTTGGGGCCTCCGAGTGTGCCAAATTGCTGCTGTTTTCTTATGTTACGTGCGGGAGCGGGACGGGGGACGGGCCTACTTCCGGCCCCTGTAATTTATAATAATAAATCAATAATAATAATAATAATAATAATAATAATAATAATAATAATATTATTATTATTATTATTATTATTATTATTATTATTATTATTACCAGTCAGAGGCACGCCGCGGCGATGCCGCGGCAGGCGGAGCGCAGTGTGAGTATGTCCCAGAGGGTCTCAGTGTCAGTATATCGTAAGGATAGTCAGAGTGTGAGTGTGCCCTAAGTTGCCCAAAGTCCCAGTGTGAGTATGTCCCAAAAGGTCCCAGAAGTCAGTATGCCCGTAACTGCGGACAGATACATTGAAAAGAAATCCTGGTGTGAGTATGGACTAAGGAGCTGTCACGCACACACACACATACACACACACACACACATACACACACACACACACACACACAGAGAGAGAGAGAGAGAGAGAGAGAGAGAGAGCTGTCTCTTATACACATCTAGATGTGTATAAGAGACAGAGGTAGCACCCTCGCCGCGGTAGTTAAGACTAAGGCGGCAGACCAAGGGAAGGGCCAGCCTAGGGGTCAAGGGAAGGCTGCCTCCATTCAGACCAAGCAGGCTGACTGGGTAAAAGCAGGTCTTGATCAAGACGTGTGGCGTGACCGCCGAATGCGTTGCGCTTGTATCAACTACGGAGAGTACGGACACACGCAGTGGAAGTGCTAGAACGCTAAGGTTGCACAAAAGGTTGCCCCAAAAGTGGGGGCAACTTATTCTCAGGCTTCTAGCTCGGGAAACGCGTAGGGCCAGTGGAAGTAGTAGCGGCTTCTACTCAAGATGAAGTGGGAATGATACCCTCCTCACTTCATGAC